GATAATACGAGAGGCAGCTTTGCTTGTCAAGCAGCCTGGAGCTGAGAATGGCAGGCGAGAATGGGAGCATAGGCGAGTAAAGAGTTAGAGCAGCTCTGGGGTTGGGGCAGGACCTAGTTCTCTATGTCTACAGCGGCTAAGCTGTTGTGCAGAGTGTAGGCACCCTCAGTGATCACTTAGCCCTAGATCGCTTGGCTCCAGGGCAAGACTGTGAACTAGCTCCATAAAGCCCTGTGAAGGTAGCTGCTCAAAGCTCCATGGAGGTAAGCTGCCCGAAATCCTGTAGGAGTAGCTCCCTAGAGTCCCTATGTGGGAAGCTCCCAAAGTCCCCATGTGGGTAGCACCCCAAGGTCCTGGCAGGTAGCTCCGCAAAGTCTTAGTGGGTAGCTCTCTGACATCCTGGGGAGTGGCACCCCAAGGTCCTGGCAGATAATTCCTCAAGGTTCTGGTGGCCCTGGTGGGTGGTGACCCAAGGCACTGGCAGGTGGCTCCCTGAGGCCCTGGCGGGTGGCGACCCAAGGAACCCAAAGCCCTGGCAGGTGGCGACCCAAGGCACTGGCGGTGGCTCCCTGAGGTCCTGGCGGGTGGCAACCCAAAGCCCTGGCAGGTGGCGACCCAAGGCACTGGCGGTGGCTCCCTGAGGTCCTGGCGGGTGGCAACCCAAAGCCCTGGCAGGTGGCGACCCAAGGCACTGGCGGTGGCTCCCTGAGGTCCTGGCGGGTGGCAACCCAAAGCCCTGGCAGGTGGCGACCCAAGGCACTGGCGGTGGCTCCCTGAGGTCCTGGCGGGTGGCAACCCAAAGCCCTGGCAGGTGGCGACCCAAGGCACTGGCGGTGGCTCCCTGAGGTCCTGGCGGGTGGCAACCCAAGGTCCTGAAGGGTGGTGACCCGAGGTCCTGGTGGGGGCACCCCGAAGCCCTGTCATGTGGCTCACCGAGGCCCTGGCAGGTGGCTCCCCAAAGAGTAGCACCCCCAAGGTCCTGCGTAGGTTGTTCCTAGAGTCCCCATGTGGATGGCGGCAATGGCTATTGGTTACCTCAGTGGCAAATGATGCCGGTGTCTTCTGTGAAGCATATGGCTGGGGTCCCGGGTGGGACTGGGTGGCTGATGCTGATCTTTTCCTTCTCCCTTCTTAGTCCTTAGTGGTCTCCTGACATCTCAGGTATGCAGATCTCACCAGTGATCCTTTCTATGTGTATATTCTCCAATTTTTGCTCCACTGTGTTGTTGCAGATTCTTTAATGAGCCCTTGAGCCCTCTGGGCAATTGTGGTTTGTGAATAGTTCTCTGTAGTTGACTTTCTGTGGAGAGATGATGGCTGGTATCTCCTACTCCACCAATTTGGTGATGTCACTCCACTCTTTCCCTTTTATCAGCATAACCTAGCACCACTGCTGCCTCAACTAAAACCATTAAAGGTACAGCTGACCCTTGAACAACTCGGGTTTGAACTGCATGCGTCCACTTAAATGCAGATTTTTTTCAATAAATGTATTTTCTCTTCCTTATAATTTTCTTTTTTTAAAAACTGTACCAGAGTATACTTCTAATTTATTGCATTTTAATTTTTCTCTACACATAATAGCTATGCAGATAGAAATACATGTGAGTCAGTTTTTCTTAATACACTAGGCAAAAAGTGTTGGGAAGCTAGACACCCACTGGCTATTTTTTTTCCTGGTACCAGATCACGATACTGCTGAGTTCCTTCAAAACATTAAAGTACAGCATTACGATGCTGCATAATCTTTCAAGATCACAAAATAAAATGCAAAGTTCTTCAATCCATTTTAGAAAACCAGCAAAATTCTATAACAAAATCCTACAGGAAAAAGTACACCAATATCATTTATAAACTGCAATTTAACAGCTTATTAAATGTAACAAAACGTAACAAGATATAAAACCTAAATCCTAAAGTTACATAATTTTTACAGATAATGGCCCTGCCTCCACCTATACTACATAAGACTCAAGACAGTAGCTTCCATACCCACCAAGCTCCCACTGGCCACCTTCTCACCAGCCCTCACTAGTGGCAGATGCCAGCTCTAGCACTGGTCTTGGCCCTGGACCTAGCCTCATACTGGTCTTGGCTCTGGCCCTGTCAGCCTCATCTCCTAGGGCCTCAAGATGCTGTGCTGGCCAGTGCTGGGATTCTTCCTTATGGAGCTTGGCCAGGTTGCTTCGGGGACCCCAAGAGAATTCATATTCGGGTGGATTGGTGCAAGGCTCCCGCCTGTAATTGAGGTATTGCTGCTGCACAAAATCTTCTGTAATAAGCCTCTTCAGCAACCCAAAGAGGAAGTGATACTTTGAGGAGTGCACCACCAACCAAGGCAGCATCTCCCAGACCTGGGCCTCCCTAGCGCTATTACTTTTCACGCAGAGAAGACCCAAGACCTTCACTAAGAGACCCAATCTGGGGCCATGTTCTCCCAGATCCTTCCCCTCAAGAAGTTTTAGTTTGTTGATCAGGATGTAAGTGTGACGTTTCTGGTCAAGCTGTTTCAGCTCTAAACCAAAGACATACTGCAGATGCTCTGCCGCCCTGTGGTCATCTCTGGCAACAGATCCTCAGGTCTCCGATAATGTATTTCGCCATCTCGAAGCGTGTGATGGGACTCTTCTTGTCCTTCAGCAGAAACTGCACCAACTCGGCCACCATCCAGTTCACACGGAGGTAGTCCCTGCTCTGTGCCAAGGCTTTGGCTGCCAAGGCCCTCATCTTTCTGGGTGAGGCCAACTCCGCAGCCCCCTCCTTCCTCCTGGTGCCGGCAGCGTTGAGGGTATTAGTAGTCAAGTTTTGGGGGAGTCACAAATTATACGCAGCCCCTTCGGGCAGACGCGAGGGCCGAGCGAGCAGGTCCAAGTGGGCCTCTAGCCTCTCGGCCTGTCCATCAGGTACCCACCCAGGCCCAGCAACTGCTCCTTCAAGAGAGGATGGAAGTTTGTCACGTCCACCGAGCCGCCAACCTCCCTTCTGCAGGCGCACACCTTTCTGCAGATGTGCACCTTTGCAAAGCCTCGGTGAGGACCCAAATCCCCCTCCCCGGATTAGCTCTTAATTCTCAGGCGCAGAAGTAGGAAGCTCAACGCTGCTTGTCAAAAAGGCCTGGAACCTGGAGACGGAAAACTGGAGAGAAGAGATGCACTCCCCCATGCTCCTTGCTGGTTTGCATCAGAGCCGTGGGTGTCTAGCTTTCTCGAACTTCTATCCAAATTTCAAAAGTGGGAGTGGAGGAACAAACAGGCCTCTCCCGGGATTGTGAAAGCGATCTTGTTGATGGATGCAACAAAAAACAAACGCACTTAGAAGACTTCTACTGCCTGCCTGGCGTGTCACATGGGATACGTGTCTTTGTAACACTGAAATTCAAATTATTTTCTTTTAAGGGCCCTGAGCGATTTTTTTCTCCTGTCTTGTGAATTAGAAAATATCTCCATTCCCTCCCCCCCCCCAATCTTTTTCTCTCTCGCAAACCCCAAAGATCTTGTTTTCTTTTTATACAAAATAAATGTGCCCATCTTGGGATGTCACACAGGAAAAAAAAAAAAACTATATGTGGATTTTCAACTGTGCAGGAGGTCAGTGCCCTTAACACTGCGTCATTCAAGGGTCAGCTGTAATCCTGCAACAGCAGTGAGCAGCAGGCGTTCGTATTTCCCCGTTATCCTTGCTTTCTTTTTGCTGGGTTGGTTGGTTTGCATCGGGACCCTCCAAGGCGCGCCGGCTCTCCCGTGCATCTTCCTCACCCTCCAGTCTCCCCAGTCCCTTGATCTTATCTCTGAGTCCCACTCACTCACTACCCTGAGCCCCCCTGGAATGATCAGAACTCAGGTCAGATCCTCGTGGCCCAACGGGACTATGGGGATGTTTTTGTTTTTGGAGGTACAGATATGGCCCCAGGGATGTCCTGGCTTCTGCGCCTAGCCCGTGTGTGTCACTAGCTCCTCAGATGCTCCCACTGGCGGCCATTGCTTTAGAGTCAGAGGGATGAAAAATGTCCATCTCTACACACACACACAAGTCACCCACTCTTCTTTCCATGCAACCCCTCCCCGTCATTGATTACAGTCTCAGCCACCAAGTGGGGAGAAGCAGAAAGGAGGGTGGACTCCGCTGATGAGGGTCCCCGAGGCAGGGACTAAAGCGAGTCCTGCCTTTGTACCTGCATTTTATGGCAGCTCCTCTGGGTACTATTTTAGAATCCCACAGATGTTTGTTTTCCAATCAAAACTAGCATTTAGTAAGAAATAAAAACCAATAATCCAGCAAACACAGCATCCAGATATTCCCAACCTGAGAGCAGGAAGAATCTTATACTTTAACTCCTTCCTGCCCCACTCCATCCCCAGCTCCCTCCCTCCCTCAGGGTCAGCACAGTCCTCCCTTAGAAGGCTCAGGCTCATGTGCCCCCAGGTAGGGTGGGGGCATCAGAAAGCAAAGAGGACAATCCAAGACAGGCCTTGTCAATGTGTGCTTGACCAAATCCTGGTTGCTTCTCACTTTTTGTTTATCCCAACACACTTTCTCCAACGTTCATGATTTGCAGTGATAGTTGTCGCTGTGTTTTTTCCTCAAGAGGACAATCCAAGACAGGCCTTGTCAATGTGTGCTTGACCAAATCCTGGTTGCTTCTCACTTTTTGTTTACCCCAACACACTTTCTCCAACGTTCATGATTTGCAGTGATAGTTGTCGCTGTGTTTTTTCCTCTTGCGGAGGTTTATGGAGCCCATGCAGGGTGCCAGTCTCAGCACATTGCCTGGACCTCATCCTTTGAGGCCCAGAGTGAGAAAACTCCTGGGACAGAGTCACACAGCAAGTGTAGCTGGAGCCAGGACATAAAGCCAGACCCATCCGTTTAGGATTCTTGCTCTTCACCGGTAGCGCAGTCTCCTCCTAGGAGGAAGACTGGTAGGAGACTTCCTACTCTGCGGTGGGAGAGGATGGCTGCTGTGGTGCAGCAGCAGAGCAGGCCTGTGTTTGCCATTCCAGGCACTGGAGCAGATCCTGGATGCAGCAGCAGCAGCAGCCCCCTCGGGCCTCCCTGAGGAAGGTGAGTGGCCAGAGCCCACCCAGCCCCAGCAGAGTCTGCTCTCCAGGGCGGAGGTTGAGGCGCCCTGCATCCCCAGCTTCCTCGGTGAGTGACTGACTCCTGTAATGGAGGTTGGGCCTGACCAAGGGTTAACCCCCACCTCACTCCTGCAGCCAGGGGCTTTGCTCATGGGTGGGATTGTAGACTTTGGTGGTGAACTCCAAATCTCTCCTAGAAACGGTGCATACCAACTGTGAGGACTGAGATCTGGAGACTCTCTAGCACCCCACCTCCCAGAACAGCCACTCACACTGTTCCACCCCATGACCAGGGCTTTGGCCTCCCAGCCTGAATGGGCTGGCCAAGCCAAAGGTGGACAGACTGAGGATGCTGGAGCAGGGAGCTGCCCAATGGGCTGGCTCAGGAGAAGACCAAGGGGTCAGGGCTCTGATGTGTGCCCCCCACAAATATGTACCCTTTTATCTTAAATAAGGACAGAATGGAGGGAATGGGGGTCTTACTGAGCAGAGACAGAGCCTCTTGGCTCAGTCAGCGGGACCCTCCACACCCCTTGCAGGGTCCCAGGGAGATCCCCAGCCCCTATCCCTCTCACACCAGTTAACCCATCTCCCTCACCCTCCCCAGGCTCCCTGGCTCACTTTCCTCTGAAGCCTAGTATCTGGGATGAGCCTCCTTGTGGAAGGGACAGTCTGGTCCAAGAATGTGCACGGCCCTCCTCAGACCAGCAGGCAGAAGAGGGCACCATGGACACCGCGCTTCAGGGGATGGGTGGCAAAGGACCCACCCTTGAGGGGCCCATGGCCCAGAGCCCCCAGTCTGGTATGGTTCCAGGCCCCAAGTCTCTGAGTGCTCTGAAAAGTGGTTCTAGAAAGAAACCAGAGAATGCTGAAGAAAGCAGCCTCCACCTGTCATTTCCCAAACACACCAAAGGTGGCACCAAACAGGCCGCCACAGGGGTCTCAGGAGTGCCACAGGTACCCCCCAGGAGGCGGCCCTTCCAGTGTGGTGATTGCGGGCTGGTCTTCACCTGGGTCACCCACTTCATCGAACATCAGAAGATACACCGCGAGGAGGGGCCCTTCCCATGCCCTGAGTGCAACAAGGTCTTCCTACACAGCTCCGTTCTCGCTGAGCACCGCAAGATCCACCTGCTGGAGCTGCCGAGGAAGAAAAACCCCCGGAGCAAGAGGCCCAGGAAGCAGGCCCAGGGACGCCGGGGTGGTGGGGGTGAAGCCACTCCCAACTCCAAGAGGCCCTTCCAATGCAGCATCTGCGGGAAAGCCTTCCCTTGGATGATCCACCTCATTGACCACCAGAAGCTCCACGCACCCAATGACCAGATGTGACCAGCCAACCTCGAGATGGGCCATTCTGTCTCCCCTGGGCCCTGAGTCCCTTGGGGAGGGGGGACTGATAGGCCCCAGCAGAGGAGGGAGACCCCTCAGCCCTCACCGATCTTTCTCCCACCGATAGGACTCTTCTGGGAAGGACACTGGCTATGCATACTTGTTTCGGGATTGATCATGGACAACTGCTCGGCGGCCTCCATCATCTCCTCCACAACGGGAGAAGGTTTCCCCAGGGGTCTCAGCTCATCAGTAATCCTGCGTGCTGTGTTTTGCAAGCGGTTCATTAGCATCTTGTATTTCAGAAGCCTTTTCCACGGGACCCAGTTTCCCTGTGAGCACTTGACCTGGCGGCGATTTCCGCCACTGGGTTTTCATTTCACTGTCCATATCCCAGAGGTTGGTGAGGGCAAGAGCTGGCCAGGGACAGCTCCAACTCTGAAGGATGCAGGCTAGCTGACCCCTGCCTCCCTCCCACCAGCCCAGCCCACTTGGAACCTGACAGATAGACAAGGTTGTTTTTCTTTTTTTTCCTTTTCCCTTTTTTTGGAGGTGTGGGGGGATAGTAAAATACACATAACATAAATTTTACCATTTTAGCCATTTTTAAATGCACAAGTTCAGTGGCATTAAGTACGTTCATAATGTTGTACAAACTTCACAACCATCTAGCTCCAGAATGTTTTCACCTTACCCAGAAGAAAACCCCGCAGGCATCAGCGCTCATTCCCCATCCCCCTCCCTCCAGCCTCTGATAACCACTAATCTGCTTTTTGTCTCTACGAGTTTTAGGTTTTTAGATCTGACCAAAACTGACCTGCATGTTTTGTTTTACTCACAGAATGACTTTTTTTTTTGATGATAGATGCCATTTTTTAAAACCATAAAAATCTGGCTTTCTGGTCTGCTTGGAAGAAACAGATAATCTCCCAAGAGTGGAGCCACCTCTCCAGGTTGGCTGGAGCAGGGCGCAGGTGGCTAGTGTCCACATGCCCCACCGCCAGCGGGAGACTGTCCCCACCTGGATTCAGCTTCTCAGCCATCCCCTTTCAAATGAAAGCCTTAAAAGTTTTCGTCTTTTTCTTTTTTCCTTCCAACTTCACTTGGACATACAGAATGTTGGGTTGACTTTGAATCCCCATAAGCAGAGACCTCATTTAAATCATTCCTAAGTCGCCTTTCAACTGGAAAAGCCTTTGGACTTGCCCAGCCCTGCCCGCTGCTGCGTCTTGACCAAGTCGCCCCCACTCATGGCCTGTTCCCCAACGCTCATGGGCAGTACAGGTCCCACCGGACCCTCCGCTGCCTTCACATCACTCGCCACCATACTTGCCTTCTGTCGCTTGCCTTCTCGGAACTCTCCCCAGCTGGGCCTCCAGACCTCCTTCCTGGCTCTCTTTGGCATCCCCAGCTTTTCCTGCAGTCCCCATCAGGGGATTCTGGCTCTACCCCCACCTTAACTGCTGGTGGGCACCAGCTCCCCTCCCAGGCAGCCATCTCTTCCATCCGGCAGAGGAGGAGCTTCTCCTTCGGAGCATCTCAGCCCCACAGTTAACCCATTACTCTTGAAAGCCCTCTGAGCCTGTCCTCAGGTACAGGATACTTGGAAACAGAATGGAGCGGGAGTGTCCACATTTGTTGGGGGTGGGGAGCCAGGAGCTCGTTCCATGCAGTTTCCACTTCAATCCCCATAAACCGAAGGTGCATTCACAGCTCTGTTGGTGGGGTGCCGCTGCCCAAAGGGCACTGACCGGCCCGACCCATGCCAGGCTGCTCCCTCCACTGCCATGGCCCCGAACACCCAGACGGGGCTCTCCAGAAATGTCTGCCTGGGCGTCCCACAGACCAACTGCCCTCCAGAGGTATCTGCCTGTTGTCCCTCAGTCCCCAACTGAGCTTGTCCAAAGAAATCATCTTCTCACTGTGCAAAAACAAACAAAAACCCAACTGCCTCCCCTCTGGGGTTCCCACTGTCCCTGGAGGGGCAGGTACACTCCAAGTCCCCAGAGGACTCTTGATGACACCCTGGGCAACAATAACGTGCCCTAGATACCCCCCTCCCAACCCATCTCTGTTCTTTTCTCCTCTGCTTGTCCTACCCCAGGCTTTCTCTCCCTTTCCTGAAAGTCTGCAGCTGCCTCTACGCAAACTCTGCCTTCAGCCGTTCCTCTCTGTCCCATCCCTAGCTTGCAGCCCCCAGGGTCCCTCAAAAATGCAGACACTGAAATACATAACACCTAGCAGACCAGCTCCACCATGTCCTTCCCTGTCAGTGTGCTTCTCCCCCATTACCCTGGTGGCGGAGGCTGGCATCCTTAACCCACTCTGCCTCAGCCTGTTTCCACACTGACTCCCCACCCTCCACCTCCCCCGGTCTCCTTGTGGGCTGCCTCCTCTATCTCTGTCAAGAACAGTCTCTACTGCCACACTCTTCCTGCGCCCAGCACAGAGCTCTCCCTCTGGAGTGACTAGATGAGCAGTGCACGAATGAGTAAGTGAACTTCAGCGCCTGCTAAGACGCTAACTCTGACTGGAGTTATCAGCCAGGGAAGCCCTACATGGACCTCTGTGGAGGCAAGTTGGCCGCGCCCTGGAGGCCACTTATGCTCTCTGCCCAGGCTGATAGAGGCGAGGATGTGGCTCAGAATCCGGGCCTGGAGAGTCACTCCTCAGAATCACAGCAGCTGCCCTGATTCACGCAAGCCACCAAATTGAGTTCTTTGCCCAGCTTGCCCAGTCCCAAGACCCTGCCCAAGCCATAATGAGCTAGAGCACCAGCCCCTCTCTTCTCTTTACGTTCATCCTACCTGTGACAGCCGTCTCAGCATGCTTGGCTCCCCCTGTGCCTTCCTCTGTCAGCATCCCCCAAAAGACCCCAGCGCCTCCTCCCCCATTGTGACACTCTCCAGCCCTTGTCACAGAGCATCTGCTCGGCCCGGTTCTGGATGCTCACGCTCTGGAGGAACAAAGTCTTGGAGGCCACCTTCCTCCCCAGTACAGCCAAGGCATCTAGGATCAGAGAAGGTCTGGACACTGCTAGGTTTTGAAACTCCCACAACGAAGAAAGAGAGAGAGAGAAAGAAAGAAAGAACATCCAGGGAGCTGTAAATGTTGCCGTATATTTTAAATGTATATGTTGAACGAAAAAAGAAAGAACATCCAGGGAGCTGTAAATGTTGCCGTATATTTTAAATGTATATGTTGAACGAATTAACTTTTAACACAAAAATGCAATGTGATATAGTTGTGCTATCCATGCTATGATGATAGAATTGCTTGAAAGCTATACTGATTTGCAGCGCAATTGTTCAGGTTCATTGGGGGAGGCGGGGTGGTTCTGTCACAGGCCATGCAGAGGTAACCACTGCGCTGTAGATGCAGAGAGTGCTGGCATTGAGGAAGCAGGCAGAGCTAAGAGAGGAAGCCGAGAATGGCCTGAGAAGGGCCCAGCCAGTGGCTATACCATGGTCTGGAGAGGAGGAAGAGACTCCACCCACAATGAGGGCAGGCAGCACAAGGGCAGCTTTCAGCTTATATGACTGGCAGCGTGTTTGTAAAACCTTTGAAATCCCTGCCAGCTTGTAAAAATCAAGAGATTTCACACAGAAATCCGGATCTCTGGCTTCTTTTGAGAAATCCAAACCTGGGACACTGAGCTTACCAGTCCACATGTTACCATTTGGCTGGAGCCAAGTAGCCTTGCCCCTTTAGACAGGGCCCAGCCCCTAAAGGCATATAACTTTAAGAAACCTGGCTGGGAAAAAGCAAGGATTTGAATGTAGAGGAAGGAAACAGGGGCAAGTCCGAGGGAGTTGGACAGAGCAACCCGGCCACACATCAGGGCCAGGGTGTATCCTCCTGGGCAGGCAAGTCCAGTGTGGCAACACAGGTGTGGTTCATCACTGGGACTCTGCCAGTTAGCTCAGCTGTTTTGGACCATGGTATTGCAAAACTAAGGTCAAGGTTTCAGATCCCCGCACTGACCAGCCGCCCAAAAAAAGTGCCCAGGCCTTTCGGAAAAAAGATTTCATCGCGATTTATAAATGTGTACATGCTGTTTGATCCAGTAAAAAGGAAGCTGAGGGAAAGACAAAAGAGTACACATTTTACGGAAGAAAAAGTTAACATAAAAAGTATTTGTTGCATTTATTTGTGGGTGAGGAGATTGAAAAATGGCATTTTAATGTATATTCTAAAGCCTTTTACTGCAGTAAAGAGTAGGCTGGCTTTCAGTATGACACTCAGAAATGTGGGACTTTATGGTCTTTGAATATACCGGACACCTTTAAAGAAAAGCCAGTAAGTTTGCCTTTGCTTTGTTTACATCAGTGCATTATGACTTTGAGCCATCCTATTTTTTCTTTCTTTTTTTTTTTTAAAGATGACCGGTAAGGGGTTCTTAACCCTTGACTTGGTGTTGTCAGCACCACGCTCACCAGTGAGCTAACCGGCCATCCCTATATGGGATCCGAACCCGTGGCCTTGGTGTTATCAACACCACACTCTCCCGAGTGAGCCACGGGCCGGCCCCAATCTATTTTTTCATAACACTGTTTCGGGGGTTTAAGAAATTTAAAGTCTTTAACATGTGTGAACCAGCCAACTCTTTTCAAGTGTCTGTGTGTGTAAAGAAAGTGTAACCAGCTAGGTTTTTTTCCCTAACATGAGAATTCTTATCGTCTTCTCTGTTGTTTTTGGAGTCAGAGTTCTTTCAGTCAAAAAAAAAAAAAAGCCTATGTCGTGAACCTTTTTCTCAGCTTCAAATCCAGCTCCCAAGCCCCTGCCTGATTGAAATCAGTCAGTCCTCTCTTAAAAGGGCAAAAGCACATAGCTCAGCCTTGGTTTTCTTAGATCATCTCCACTCATTGCTCGATGGATGTTTGATGTACATGGGTGAAAGTGAGTCCACTTCTAAAAGGGTAATAGTGAATGTCCCCACCTAGCGGCCAGGCAGGCTCTGGTGAATGTTCAGAAAATGGCAATTCAGTCAGCAAGGGCACATCAGCTTTGACTATTATGCTGCTGTTCAAATGCACAGTTTCGACAATTACATGTTAATGTAGAAAGTAGTTATAAATGTTAAAGTGTCTTGCACGTGATGTTTCCTGTGACCACATAATAAATACATCCTGGAAACTGTCCATGGCCGGATCAATGTGGCAAAGAGCAAATGGCTCCTGCATTTGGAATTTTGGTGAATATTTTTGTTTTAAAATGTGTATGTGTTTTAATCACTGCTTTGTTTTACAATAAAGTTTATGGTAAGGTTTCCAGTATGAAAGCAGCATATTCCCAGTATCCTGTTCACCGACTCTCTGCCACTCCTCAAACACACCAAGGCGTTTCCCCACCTCTGCCTCTGCAGGTCCTGTGTCCTCTGCCTGGGAGATTATACCCCAAGACCTTCCACTGCATCAGCTCAATGTCCTCCCTGACTGCCCTGTCTAAATTAACCCCCCAGTCAGTCGCCCGCTCCACAAGCGCTGGAACGACGTTCGCAATGCCCCTCATGCGGGGGGCGGGCGGCGAATATTTACGAAGCTGGGGGGGGAATGGGGGTGACCAAACTACGGGCATCAGAACTCGAACTCGTATCCACAAGAATCGGACAGGCGGGGCAGATGCATAGCGAGCCGCGCGGAGCCCTCCGGGAATTATTGTCCGACACCCGTTTGCGCAGGCGCGGCCAGGGGGCCGACGTGGCCTTGCCGGTTGACAAGGGAGTGTGGTGTGGGAGTGTTCTGGGGAAGGGAGGCGAGGCTGAGCCTGGCGGGGGTCTGGGGGCCGCACTCCAAGTGCGAGCAGGGTGCTCCGGGGCAAGGAGAAGAACGGAAGCAAGCGCGCGGTCCTCTGGGAGTTGTAGTTCGAAGCCCATCTGCGCGGTGCGGCCCTGGCCTTTGTCCTACAGTCTAGCCGTGAGTGGGGACGGAAAAGTGGCTCTGGCGGGGTCCGCGAGTCCGCGAGTCCGCGCTCAGCTCCCATGCCTTGCTGCCGCGGTTCCAAAATCCCGGACGGAACGGGGCGGGGGTGGGTGGGTGGGGGGGGAATGAGTGCGTGAAAAAAACAGTGCGCGCGCGGCCCTCTGGAAGATGTAGTCCGGCGCTCTCGTGCGCAGGCGCAGTCCCAGGTGGTGGTTGCCGTGGCCTTTGTCTAGCCGTCCCGCCGGTGAGATCTGGGAAGCCGAGGACGGGGAGGCCAAGACGGGAGGAGGTTCAGGGTCTTCCCCGGGGCCCCGGCCGGGGCGGATACCCACCCACACGCGTTTGTGTCTACTCCTTTCGCTGCTTTGGGCTTGGAGAGGGTCGCTTTGGTGGTGTTGGGGGGCGAGGCCCGGTTTTAGGGGATCTCGGGGTGCGAGAGGAGGGGCTGGGCTAGAGGTGGGGGTCCTAGCTTTGGCGGGAGGGAACGGGCGCTGCGGGCCTAGGGGGCACAGGCTCGACCCTTCAGAGACTGGAGCCAGCCTGACCTGCATGCCCCCTGACTTGGTGGAAACTCCGGGGTTGGAGGGTGGCTCCTACCACGGAGTCATCTATGAGCCTGCACCGCCCTGCATGCACTAGACGCTAAACAGATGCTCACTGAAGTGACAGCCTTCCCTCATGGCAACAATCCCCATCATATGTATAGGAGGGTACTTGAAAAAGTTCATGGACGGAACCCTGTACTGGCCAGGCACCAAAAAAAAGTTCATGGAAAAACAGAAATTAAAAGATAATATGAATCTTTCCATGAACTTTTTGAAGACTCTCGTATATTTCTGCCAGGCTCCATTTTCAGCCCATTTCATGCCTTAATTCCTATAATCCCGGCCACGGCCCCATAGGACGGGCGCTGGATCACCATCTTGTTTTATAGAAGACGGAAACTGAGGCACATCAAACGATAACAAGACGATCTGGCTTTCCGTCATAATTACGGAAATAATCACCCTGGAAGTCATCTGCCCAACTGTGGGGTGTCCCTCTTGCCCTCCCCAGCCCTCAGTTTCCCTATCTGTGGAACGGGTGGTAAATATGAGATCGTCCTTCAACAGCATATAGAATAACTCCTGGGATAACACCGAGCATACAGCAGGCGCTTGGGAAATGCCAAGCCAAGGTTCCACTGCTATTGGATTTGCTCTGGATGCTGTGCTCCAGACTCACGCAGCTGCACCCCAATCTAGGGCTTGGGGTCTCTAGTCACCACAGGGGCCCATGCAACTTCTCACATCCCCTCTCCCCACAGAACTGAAGCTGATGTTCCCGCGAAGACTCCGGAGGAGGAGGGAATGACCGCTGGGCTCCGCACCGCCAGGGCCCAGGTGAGTATCCCGCCATCCTCACACTTAGGCCTCCCAAGCCCTGACTTGGGGCGCCCTCAAGACTTGTTCTGGCCTCAGGGCCTTTGCCCTCACCCAGCCAAGAGCATGCTTTAGCCAGTTCCAAGCCTGTCCCCCGGTCTCGGTCACCTCCTCTTAAAGGACCTCCCCCGAAAAGACCTCCCCCCATGCTGTGCTGGAAAACATCGCTCATCAATCCCTGTCTGAAGCTGGGTAATTTATAATGAACACAGATTTGTTTACTCACATTTCTGGAGGTTTAGGAGTCCAAGACGAAGGCGCTAGCCGATTTGGCGGTTCAGGTTCCAAGATGGTGCCTCGAATGCAGCCTTCCTAGAGCGGAAGCTCGAGGGAAGGAGGGGCAGAGAGACAGAAGGGGTGGAACCTGCCCTGTTATAATAACATTAATCCCACCCACCGGGAAGAAACCAGCTTCTTGTGGAAATGTCAGAAATCACATGAAAGTGTAATAATCGGAAATACCCCAGGAACACCCCCGACCACACACCAACGCACAGCCTTTCTCGAGGATTGCGTTTTTACCCCAATATTTAAGTGTTAAATGAAAGACCAGAGGACTGCTGCCGGAGACCCCCCACCCGGTTTCATTTCCGCGTTCCAGCACTATCTATCGGTTCTCCTCCCCCCGCCCCCCCCCGCACCCTTTTTTTTAATTCAAGTATCATTTACTTTTTTGGACAGATAGGAATAGAGCTTCATCTTGTTTTGTTTTACGTAAATAGTACCGTGCTGGGCATGTCCCACAGTTTGGGTATTTTTCCCATCTGTAAGGTTGTCCCGCAGCTGTGCCTTTCAGTCTGCCCTTCTGGTGCTTGGCAGCAAATTTTTCTCCCAAATAGATGGCTAGTTGGCCCAGTGTGCTCACTGATTTGAAATGCTCCTGTTACCACGCTGACTTCCCACTTCTACGTGGGTCTTCATATACTTGAATTTAATTTATATAGTGAACAAATTAATAATAAAGTCACCCAGATTTAATCCTGGGACTTGCTACTTACTAGCTTTATAACTTTGGTCAAGACGCTTAATCTCTCCTGACCTCTCTACAATGGGCTCATAGCAGCACAAACCTCATGGAGCTGCTGATGAGATTAAATGTAATGAAGCACTGGCCCTGGGCCTGGCATGGGCAACCCTTAGTAATGTGGGCGATGGTTTTTTTGAGTTGGTTTTTAAATTTCCGATAACTCGTCTAGAATATATTCCAGGGTGTAGTGAGAGGTGAGGATTTAGGTAGATTTTCCCCCTAAATGGCTAAACAGTTATCACCACTATGTTTTCTGAGTGATCCTTCTCTTCCTCACTAATTTGGGCTTCTTTCTTCCTATATCAGGACGTAGTTTGAATCTGAGCTATTTGATTGAGCTCCTGTCTCCCTTCCCATTACACTTGACAGTTTTCCAGATGTCCCCCTCCCCTATTGCCCAGACACAGCTGCCAACTCTGAGGGTACCTCTGGGAAAGCATAATTCCTGGCGAGCTGAGCCCCACCACACCCATGACTGTCCCCTCCTTTTTTTTGCAGCTGGCCGGTACAGGGATAGAACCCTGGACCTTAGTGTTATCAGCACCAGTCTCTAACCAACTGAGCTAACTGGCCAACCTCCTTTCCTTTATTGTTGATTCTTTGGCACTATTTCTTATTTCAAGACTTTTCACTGGCTAAATCACAGGAAACAGGGTCATGGCCTCTTACACCCTAAGACACCCCCTCCCATCAGCAGGCCCACCAGGCCCCACAGGAAAACCTGACCCAAACCCCCAGACCCAAGAGAACTCCACCCTCCCCAGCCTGGCTGATGCCCCCATTCACTGCTGTCCCTACCAGGAGCCAGTGCCAGGTGTGGCTTGGCTGAAGACACTAGTATATGATGTTTCAGGAGCAAGTGACTTTTGAGGACGTGGTTGTGGACTTCACCCAGGAGGAGTGGGGGCAACTGGAACCCCCCCAGAGGACCCTGTACCGCGATGTGATGCTGGAGACCTTTGGGCTCCTGGTCTCTGTGGGTAAGGCCACACCATGTCCTGATGGTCTGCCCCCAGCACAGATTCTAATTCTCCTGGGTGAAAGATGAGGATAGGGCTAGGCTTTAAAACCAAATACCTGGGCTGTGTCTTGGCTTCAGGAACCGAACTGTTTTAGTGTGTGAAATATCAATCAGGATCGATATTAGCAAGCCACAGACCAGACCCAACCTGAAAACTCCTGAAGCAGAGAAGCGTGGGGTGAGGGAGACGCACTGGGTCACATGACTGCAAAGTCCCTGGGTAGACCTTTGACTCCTCCCTCTGCACCTCCATTGTAATCCATTCAAACTGCTATAACAAAATACCTTAGACATAATTAATTCATTAACAATTAATTCATAAACAATATAAATTTATTGCTCACCATTCTGGTGGCTGGAAAGCCCAAGATCAAGGTGCCAGCAAATTCAGTGTCTGCTGAGGGTCTTTTTGTCATTATGTCACTTTCTTGCTGCAACTTCACATGGTGGAAGGGGCAAGAGAGCTCCCTCAAGCCTAATCCAATTCATGAGAGTGGAGCCCCCATGATTTAATCACTTCCCAAAGGCCCCCACCTCTTAATACTATCACATTGGGTATTAGATTCCAACATAAGAATTTTGGAGGGACACCAACATTCAGACCATAGCAACCTCTTTCTGGTTCCATTCCCAGATGAACCACTCTGGAGGTGACAAGACAGCTGTCAGGGTGCCTTCTGTGGGTCTGAGACCCACAGAAAAGAGAGGGTCTATATTCTAGGCGTCTATCAAAGGTCCCAGGTCTTGGTTTGGGCACAAGGTCGCTTTCACAATGGTCATTGTTGCCAGCAGGCAGGGGAGAAAGCAGAGCTCTGTGACCAGGACTGTGTCACGTCCACCCCAGAACCAGGGTGGGATCAAGGACTGAGAATAGGGGAATAGAGTCCCCAAAGAACATCAGGGTCTGATACTCTGCTGCAGCCACTTGGAGGCTCCAGCCACTTGGGACCTGCAGGACTAAAGGTATAGTGTAGGTAGAGGGTCAGAGAGGGTCCTGGGATACAAACGCTCACCCTGTGGATCTCCTCCTGAGCAGGACATTGGTTTCCGAAGCCGGATGTCATCTCCCTGCTGGAGCAGGAGGCAGAACCGTGGGCAGTGGACTCCAACATTCCCCAAGGCGTGGGTCCAGGTGAGGCAGGAGCCCTGAAGGGCCAGGAGGAGCCCGTCCACCTCCCATCCAGGTTTCCCTCTGTGTCTGCTCTCTAATTCTTCACAGCAAGTTGACATCTCAGTCTTTTAGTGAAGGTTCACCAAGCACCCATTTTGGTATGAGTGAGACCAAATTCCTGTCTTCACTGCATTTATATTCTTAGTTGGAGGGCTGGGGGGCCCACACAATAAATAGATAAAATAATAATAACAATGAATGTTGATTACAGATTGTGATGATGGCTAAGAAGATGAAAGTCGGTGACGAGGTAGAAACCAGGTTGCGGGGGCCAGCCCGGTGGCGCACTGCTACAGTGTGCCGCTTGGGAGCGCGGTGGCGCTCCCGCCGAGGGTTCGGATCCCACATACAGACCGGCCGCTCACTGGCTGAGCGAGGTACGGGCACAACACCGAGGGTTGCGATCCCGTTGCCGGTCCCGGTCCGGTACGGGCATGACACTGAGGGTTGCGATCCGTTGCCGGTCATGAAAAAAGACAAAAAGGAAAAAAAAAAAAAAAAGAAAGAAACCAGGTTGCGGGTGGGAGGGCTTTAGCAAAGAGGTGAGGGATAGCCTCTCCAAGGAGGAAACATGTGAGCTGGAGCCTGAGTTATGAGAGAGTATAAGACAGCAGCATTCCAGGCAGAGGGAACAAGTGCAAAGGCCCTGGAGTGATGCATCACTTGGCTCTTGCTGCATAACACTTCAACCTCAGTGGTGTAAACCAAAGAATCACTTATGACTCATGCATCTGTGGGTAGTAGGTCCAGACTGGGCTCTGCCTGTAGGCTGGCTGGGTGGTTCTGCTGTTGGGACCAGCAGGCAACTCTAGGAAGTGGGGGCATCCCTGCCCCCTGACCAGCAGTTTCTTGCTGGCATCAGGCCCTCATCCTGTTCGAACAGTGGCCCATCCCCAGGTTCCAAAAGGGATGGCCAGTGGAGGTGGGGGTCACAAAAGGATCTCCCAGCCTCAGTAACAGTCAGCCCTCACCCAGTGTATTAGCTTCCTGTTGTTCCTGCTGTAACAAATTACCACAAACTTAGAAGCTTAAAGCAAAGCAAATTATTTTATAGTTCTGGGGATCAGAAGACTAAAATGGATCTAGTTGGGCTATAATCAGGGTGTCAGCAGGGTAGTGTTCCTGCTGGAGGCTCAAGGGAAGCATCCGTTTCTTTGCATATTCTAACTTTTAGAGGTTGCCCACATTCCTTGGCTCACGGCCTCATCCATCTTCAAAGTCAGCAATGGCTGATCAGCTCACATCATGTCACTCTGATCTAACCCTCCTGCTTCTCTCTTCCACATTTAAGGACCCTGTGATTACACTGGGCCCACCCAGATAATTCAGGATAATCTCTCCATCTTGATGTCAGATGATCAGCAATCCTAGTTCCTCCCTGCCATGTAAGATAACAGCATATTCACAGGTTCTGGGGTTTAGGACATGGACATCTTTGGGAACCACGATTTTGCCAGCCACAACTGGTTTTACCTTTTTTTTTTTTAACTTTTCACTGGAGTATGACATACTATGGGAAAGGTGCCACATCACTCCTCTAGGCCATACCCTGAAGCCATGGCTGTGCCAAAAGGGCTGAGTACCAGGGCAAAAAGGCAGTCTGCCAGGAAGAAGGAGGAGCATTTGGTAACTGTTGATTCAGTATGTCTATTGAGCTGTCGCTGTGAGCTGTGGGTACATTGGTGGCCAAGGTGGACAGAAGTTCCTGCCCTTGGGGGATCCCAGTTAGTGAGGCAGATAAAATAAATCAGATCAAAGTCTTGTAACACAGGTCATTTATTCATCCTCCCAGTGATGGCTGTTGCAGCTATTTCCAGTTTTGGGGAGCTGATAGTTTTCTTTACATCTGGGGTCAGATGGTACGACAACGATATGCCACCAAGAAGAAACTGGATCTCAGCGATGGGAGGGCTGGGCTGAGTTGTCCTTCCCAACTTGGTGGCTTTTCCCCCATTGCCACCTGGCATTGTGGGGGCTGCTTTAGTCAGTGCACAGCTGTTGCATTGCTCCTTCCAAGCCTGGTGCATCGGTGGACATTTTCCCTGAATGTTTCCTCAGCATTGTCTCCCCACCCTCCTTCTCTGTGTTCCCTTGCAAACTCCTTCCATAACCCTTATACCAGCCTCATCCTGGTTATGCTCTCTGTTTCCTCTCCCTTCTCCTGCTCCTTTCCTGGTTTGCAAAACTATTTTTAAATGGTCGAAACTACTTGTGCCTTAAACCGTTCAAAATCATCAGTTTTGTTCCCCCCACCCACCACAAACTCTTTTTACCCTGGAGCAGGGATTAAGGGACATTGCAAGTTTTCATTTCTTTCAGACTTGGAAACCACACCTGAAAACAAATTGTCAGCTCCAAAGCAAGTCATCACTGAAGAAATATCCAACAGCGTTGTCCTGGTAGAAAGGTTCTTGTGGGATGGTCTGTGGTTCTCCAAGGGTGAGGACACCAAGGGCCAATGTGAATGGAGCTGTGAGAGCCCAGGGAGTCGTGTGGTGCAGGCAGCCACCACACCTCTGAAGACATCCACTCAGGAGCAGCGGCAGGGGAATGAGTTTGTAGAAAACTTGCATTTGAACCCCAGTCTCCCAAATCAACTAATGACTCCCGTAAGACGGGGCCCTCACACGGAGGGAACACATAGAAAGAGGGAAAAGCCAGACTCAAATGCTCAACAGAAATCCTGTGCAAAAGAGAAACCCTACAAATGTGAGGAGTGTGGAAAGGCCTTTAGTCACAGCTCAGCACTCATTGAACACCACCGCACACACACAGGTGAGAGACCTTATGAATGTCATGAATGCAGGAAAGGTTTCCGGAACAGCTCAGCACTTACCAAACACCAGAGAATCCACACTGGGGAGAAACCCTATAAATGCACTCAGTGTGGGAGGACTTTCAATCAAATTGCCCCACTGATCCAGCACCAGAGAACTCACACAGGCGAGAAGCCCTATGAGTGCAGCGAATGTGGGAAGTCCTTCAGTTTTAGGTCCTCCTTCAGTCAACATGAGCGGACTCACACAGGTGAGAAGCCCTATGAGTGCAGCGAGTGTGGGAAAGCTTTCCGGCAGAGTATCCACCTCACCCAGCACCTGCGGATCCACACTGGGGAGAAACCCTACCAGTGTGGAGAGTGCGGCAAGGCCTTCAGCCACAGCTCATCCCTGACCAAACACCAGCGAATCCACACTGGAGAGAAGCCCTATGAGTGCCACCAGTGCGGAAAAGCCTTCACCCAGATCACGCCACTGATTCAGCATCAAAGAACACACACAGGGGAGAAACCTTACGAGTGCAACGAGTGTGGGAAAGCCTTCAGCCAGAGTACACTCCTGACTGAGCACCGGAGGATTCACACAGGAGAGAAGCCCTATGGATGCAATGAGTGTGGGAAAACCTTCAGCCACAGCTCCTCGCTCAGCCAGCATGAGCGGACGCACACAGGAGAGAAGCCCTACGAGTGCAGTCAGTGTGGGAAGGCCTTCCGGCAGAGCACACACCTCACTCAGCACCAGAGAATCCACACAGGGGAGAAACCCTATGAGTGTAGCGACTGCGGCAAGGCCTTCAGCCACAGCTCATCACTGACCAAACATCAGCGAATCCACACTGGGGAGAAGCCCTATGAATGTAATGAGTGTGGCAGAGCCTTCAGCCAACTTGCTCCCCTCATTCAGCATCAGAGGATCCACACAGGAGAGAAGCCCTATGAGTGCACTGAGTGTGGCAGAGCCTTCAGCCAGAGCTCCCTTCTCATAGAACACCAGAGGATCCACACAAAGGAAAAGCCCTATGGGTGCAATGAATGTGGGAAATCCTTCAGTCACAGCTCATCGCTCAGCCAGCATGAAAGGACACACACTGGGGAAAAGCCCTATGAATGTCAGGATTGTGGAAAGACCTTCAGGCAGAGCACTCATCTCACTCAGCACCGGAGGATCCACACAGGAGAGAAGCCGTATGAGTGCAGGGACTGTGGGAAGGCCTTTACACACAGCTCCTCCCTCACCAAGCACCAGAGAACTCATACTGGCTAGACCCACTCCACGTGTGCTGGGGACGTAGGAAAGCCTTAAGCCATATAGCTCACCCCTTTCTAGATGTGAGAAACACCACCAACATATTTATACACAGGCCCTCACACATAACACACTCCTCAGACACCCTCAGAGAATTCACACTGACAGAAAAGACTGGGACTACTGAGCTCTAGTCATCCATCCCCAGATCCAAACAGTAGGGAAGTGTGGAGATAATCAGCATTGAGGACCTTCAACCTTGAGTGCCCATTAGTGCTACATTACAGTGCCTACACAAGAGAAATGGAACAAAGGGGGTGGATCTGGGGATAGTCTCTGTCCAAGGATTCAGCATATTCTAAACCAGAGATTTTCAAAGTGGCGAGGAACCCAGCAAATGCCTTTCATATAAAAACCAATTGAACTCAAAATTTGCCTTTATTGCACATTACATTCTTGGGGAGGGGGAGTGCTTATGAATAGTACAAGTTGACTCTAATATTCTCCAAAAAACAATATGGCAGGGCCGGCCCGGTGGCGCACTGCTACAGTGTGCCGCTTGGGAAGCGCGGTGGCGCTCCTGCCGAGGGTTCAGATCCCACATACAGACCAGTTCCCGCTCACTGGCTGAGCGAGGTGTGGGGGCGACACCGAGGATTGTGATCCCAATGCCGGTCCCGGTCCGGTACGGGCGCGACACTGAGGGTTGCAATCCGTTGCCGGTCCCGAAAAAAGACAAAAAGAAAAAAAAAAAAAAAACAATATGGCAGACCTTTCCACAGATGAAAGTGGCATCTTTATGGAATCACCATGGATACTTGACTATCTCGGTACAATGCTTTCTGATTTGTATATAAATTGTTTGATCATTGTATGTGGCTGCCAGTCCCACAGATTTGAATTTTATATGACTAAAAGTATCAGTGTACTATAAACAGATTTTGAAGTAGTTATTCTCTGCATTATTTTGCTGTAAATTAACCTTTGTATGCAATGGGATCCAAAAGCTTTATATGGGAAGACTCCAAATGGAAAGCCACTTCTGTGGAGTCTCACAGACTCTCAGATGGCTTTTGCTGCTCTGTTCTCACTATAAATTTCTCTACAGGGCTCACAGGCATTTGGAACACAGGTGTTGCTGTTTTACAAAAAGGGAGATTTTCTATTTGTTATGCCATCATCTCATGAGCAATGGCTTCATGGTGGATCCTTCTGTTTTGCAAGATCTATCTCTTTTGGGAAATGTAAAAGTTAATCGTCTCTTGAACTGTTTTTTCATTGATTCATCATCCTGCTTAGTAAGCTTTTGCTTTTATACAATTTAACTGGAAGGCCCATAGTACTTCACTGTTCCCTGAATCCACAAATAACAGTCTTCCTGACAGTCACAGCCTTTAAACAGTGACTTGCCACCTTCATTAGAAATCGCATTGGCTGGTTTTGTTCTCAGCCATCAATTACGGTTTTATCAGTCAGTTTGATTTTCCTAATCATAATACTGGGGTATGAGTTACCAGTTAACTTGAAATTTCTCTTTTGGAGGGACCATGTTGCAAATAGTCTTCCAATACTGTTCTTCAGTGCCCTTGTGGAATGTCTTTTTTAGTAATTAACATGTCATTTAAAAGCCACTTAAGAAAGTCAGAATAAATAGTGGAGAGCAGCACTGTCCAATTGAAACAATGCAAGCCACATTGGTAACTCAATATTCTAGTAGTCCCATTTGAAAAGCAAGAAGGAGGGATGGCCGGTTAGCTCACTTGGGAGAGTGTGGTGCTGACAACACCAAGTCAAGAGTTAAAATCCCATTACCGGTCATCCTTAAAAGAAAAAAATGAAAGGAAGAAACAGGTGAAATTAATACTTCCCCTACATATCCCCAAAATTACCGTTTTGACATGTCAGTATAAAAAATTATTAATGAGATGCTTTGCATGCTTTCTGTGTACATCTTTGAAATCCAGTGTGCATTCTACACTTGCAGCACTTCTCAATTATACTGTACCTACATTTCAAGTGCTCAGTCAACACATGTAGCCAGCCGGTAGCTGTATTGGACAAGGGTCAGTAGCCATGGTCCTTCGGTCATCTGTTTTGTCCTCCCTCCCTTTCCCTGTGCTTCTATCCTTGTGTAACTTCTTATCCTCAAGGAAACCAGGTGTGCTCTGAAGATGAGTTTCTTAAAGAAAATGGCATGACAAACTGCTAAATCCATGTAGAAATATGTAATGCTGGTTGTGCAGATTTCAGGCTCTCTAGGATATTATGCTTATCATAGAACATGACAGGAAAGATGTTAAGGCTCTTCTGTTCCAATTCAGTTCAGTGAAAAGGTAACCCAGCCACTTGCTCTTTTGCAGTCCTATGAAAATGCTAGATCAGTGCCATCACCAAGAAACAGTCATGTGAGCTCCTGTCTTCCCACTCGGCCCCTCCTCATTGGACCTCCTGTGATGATACAAATGGAACACAGCAAGGAGTTGGGGACCACAAAGAGGTGCCCGCAGTGTCTCTTCTACCCTAAACCAGGGAAAGAGATGAGATTCCCCTCCCTGATGTGCCACACCAGTGAAGGGAAGTTGCGGGAGTGACCCAAGGTCAGAAAAACCACAAGGGCAAATATACTCCCAACACTAGAGGACCTGGCTTACTTGAACAGTTATGTTTTACTTAAAGGCACAAAAGTAAAAGATCAGCTGGGGAAACTGAAGGGCATGAATGCAGGTTAAACTGAGGAATGAGGGAGTCCTGAATCTAGGTCGGAAAAGGCCACACAGCTTCCATTTGTTCACTGGAACACTTGTGTTGGGAGCCCTGAGACACCATATAAGAAGCGCAGCTACCCTGAAGCCACCATGCTGTGAGGATGCCCCAGCCACAGAGGCTGCGTTGAGGGGCTCCAGTCAGCAGTCCTAGTCTTCAAATCCTCCCTGCCTCGCCAGGCATGTAAGTGAGCAGGTCTTCAGATGACTCCAGCCTCTCAGCTTCCGAGGTACTACAGCCTTTAAGGCCCCAAACATGGTAGAACCTACATAAACCATCTCTTTTTTTGCCCTTTCCAAATTACTGACCCACTGAATCTGTGAGCAAAACAAAACAGTTTCATTATAAGTTCTAAGGTGTTTTTTTAAACAGCAATAGTAACTAATACACTCTTGGAGAGGATCTTTTTTAATATAAATACAATTGGGGGTCGGCCCGGTGGCGCACTGGATAGTGCGCCGCTTGGGAAGCACAGCGGCGCTCCCGTCCGAGGGTTCGGATCCC